TTTTAATTTGTTTCAAATAATATTCTGAAAATGGGTGCATAAATATAAATAGTGGAAATAAATCATCATTATTATGAAGAACTAATTTAACTCTTTAAAAGGTACTTATATATATTTGTCCAGGTTATCTATATTTTACTATTATGAAATTTTTTAATAGTGATATAAACTGATTTCATTGATCAGGGAAAAGATGTGGGCTAGATATAAAGCTAAACTAAGTATTTCAAGTTTATTCCTTGGACTAAAGGTCATGAATTGAGAAACAATGAACTGAGAAATGAAATACAGTATAATTATTATTATTTAAGAGAAATTATAAGCTTTGTAAACCAGGTTACAAAAAATAAATTTAAATTTAAGGAATTTCCAGCAATAAGAGTAGACTTTTTAATCTTAGAAATGACGTTTGTGTAAATATCCTAAAGAGCTAGTATAATTCTTTTCAACATTGCATAAATCAACTTGGTCAAAGCACAAGGAAAAGAAAAGGAAATTTTATTTATGTGTATTTAAAAGTTCTGTGAAATCTGGGCTTTGTGAAAAGATTCGTTAATATTTTTGAAAAATCACATCCCATTACTTTAGGCAGCTTCAAACTGTTTTGTACATCAGTGATAGCAACTCTTTCTACAGATTCATATTCTGATTTTTGCTTCTTTGTTTCAACTATCTTTACTTTTCTCTCATCAAACTTACCAATAGGAGGCAAGATTTTTATTTCATAAAATACATAAATTAGGACAATGGCAACAAAGAAATATGATAATTGTTTTAATTAAGTTTTTTCTAAGGAATGAGAAGTTGCTTAGAATTAATAAACCATTTTTTAGGGGAAAGTTCTCTGCTTGAAGGTTTTCTATTTACAGTGAATAATGTATTGGGTTGATTGGATTGTTGCTGTTCATCTAAATTTTATTTATCATATTTATATGATCATCAGACTCAGAAAGTGAATACAGAAACAAAAACCGCAGAATTGATTTGGGATTAATATATACTAATTTAGCTAATGTGAAATAACCTCAAAGAAATAAATTTAGAGAAAAATTTTTATTAACTACGATTTAATACAAAAATATTTTGTGTTGGTATTACTATTCCAAGTTGTTTCATGAAAATTCTCTTAGGAAAATAACCTTGATTTTATTAGCTTGTTTTCTATTTAAAATCACGCTATGAAGGAATGATTAAATCAAATGTAAAGTATAGAACAATTTAACAAGCTTAATAGTCTTAGAGATAAGATAGAAATGTTTCTGGCATTACTTAGTCAACAGTGAATTGAGTTGTTAGCTTCTTTAAAAACTGCTACTTTCCTTTCTTCTTATGTTTCTATAAAGAAATTTAAATAATACATACCATATGCCAGTTTATAAGAATAGTGTTCTGAGAAAGATATTTTCCAATATCATATTGGTGCTTTTTAAAGTTGACTTTTTATCCACAACTAACTACAGTCCTTTTAGACTGTTTGACCTGACCAGGGCTAACATTTTACTTCCTGGCCTATGAAATGTGAGATCAGAGTAACTAGCAATAATAATTTTATTCAGCTTAGAGGATACATACCCAGAATGGCCTCTGTTTAGAGAAAGTTTCAGAAAACAGTTGTTTGTCATTTATATTTATATTTTAAAATACAGATTAAGTTTATTCATTCTGATTTAGAAAATATGTGCTTATTATAGATTACTTTTGTATATATTAGAATGTATACATGAAATTTGTCTTGATTTTTATAAGTAGATATGAAATTACTTATAAATTGATGTTGAATGTACTGTTCAGTAACATATAAGTCTCATTTATTTGAGGATTATTGCTTTCGTTATCACTTAGGAGAGAATTAGCATTACTTTTCTTTTAATTATATTAACTCTTAATCTAAGGAAATCCTGTGAGCTCGCTCACAGGAATTATTCGATGATGCCATGAGGAAATGCTGCCTGCCTAAAGTCCATCTACTACTTTCTTAAAAATAACCAAATTTTAAGGAGAAAACATGTAAATAAGATCACACGTTTCATGTATCTAAAATTTATAATATTTCATTTTAGAATTTTATTTGATTGAATTGTGTTGTGGATATAATTCTTGAGCTATAAAAACTCTGTAATCATATTGAACCTGAAACACAAGAATACCAGAGTGTAATATGTATCTATATGATATGCAACCATTCAAATTGTCTTTCTATGATTTTTTTCTTCTTTTTCTCCCTCTTTTGTTTCTTTATCCTCTATCTTCTGTTTTTTAAATAAATAAAAATATTGTGAATATAACTTAATTGCCTTTAGAAAAAGAGAAATAGGATTTGTCACAGATGGAATATGTTGATATACAAATACAAACTGTCTCAAAATCAATATGAGAGAAACTCTATTCTCTGTTTTGTTATTTTATGACATTAAATCAGTTTCCCAACTTCTTTTGAAGAATGTACTAATTATTTTCCAGAGTAGTTACATCTTATTAAATCTGCATGTTCCTCAAGAGTTACTTGTATTTGTTACTAGAATGTTATTGTTATTTGTTATTTCATTTCATAAAGCAGTTCAATATGGTACAATCTAATGAGTGTTACAAGAGCTTTACTTTACCCTCTAAAACCAAGGGACATATTTATGAATTAAATAAAATTGTAAGTTGAATAAAATATATAAATTAGTTTTAAAACTGTATAATTTTATGCAACTTCTGCATTTATGTTACTTAATAGGTAGCTTTGATTTTTTTCTCCTTCAAAAATATACTAGAAATCAAAAGCAGTATATGAGACTTTGGAGAAAAATTAAAGAATCTTGATCAATGGACTCTTACTAAAACAAAAGTTTCAATTCTACTATAAAACAGTAGCATTTCTACCTACTTAAGTCACATAAACTATAATGCATAGCTACATCATTTTACGATTTTGTAAATCTTTCATTGTATTTTAGAGAAAAAAAAAACAAAAACAAGAAAAACAAAAGAGACCAATAAGCAACAATAATCAAAAACCCAGAACAGTAACAACATAGGCTTTCAAAACAAGGTAATAGGGACTTAATGAAGGTTGTTATTTTGCATAGTTATCTTTGAAAGTTACTCTAATTACCAGATTTGACATGCAAAATTGATCTAATCCTATGAGTATTATCGGTTTTGTTCCAAGAACTAACAGAATCTGTAGTATAATCATTTTAGCTGTCTGAAGTGTACATATGCATATTTTCTAGGAATTTCCACACTGATTTCCACAGTGGTTGCACCAATCTACACTCTCATTGATGTAATTATTTTATCAGTAAGTTATCACTGATAGATTTTTTTAAAAAGAAGGAATTGTACTATATAATCTTGGAGAAAAGAACTTGGAGAAAAAAACCCTTTCTATGTGAGACTGAGGCTGACAGAATTATCTGGCTGTTTTGACATTTGAGTTGTCAATGGTTAGGAAGACAGACAATGTGCTTGAGGAGGTGGACCTGCCATTTTGTTTTTTCCCTGATTATTTTTAAGTTCCTACTCAGTGAATAAGATAATTTAGAGTAATGTAGATGGTAAACAAGATTCATCTTGAGGGCCAGCTTTGATTAACTGTAAGTGGCTTCTTGCACACCTGTGTGGAGATGACTTTATAACCCCTCCCCCTTAGATCCAAATGCTTTGGTCTGATAGTCATGTCCACCATGAAACCAGGATGACGTAGGACAATAGGGCTATCACTATCCTCCTGAAGCTATATCCACATTGTTTTTTAGTGCTTACAGGTGTATAAATGAAAGTTTCCTTGCCTCTTTCTTTCCTTTTTTTCCTCCTCTTCTGGAGATTGTCAGTGGTGTCATTCCTCGGAACTGGTTAGATACCACATTAGTGAGAAAGACTGTGTGCTGTACACAGTTCTCTCGTGGTTCTGTCAGAAACATGTCTTAGTTACTTTGACGCATGTGAGACCCACTCCAGGCCAGTGAAGCTAAGGATTTATTTCTGCAAAAATTGAATAGGAATATTTAGTCTTCATTAAAGAAAATCAGTTCCTAAAATTTGTTTAAAAATTATTAATGTGACTGAGTTACTAGCAAGACTACACAGAATCTGAAGGCAAGAGGAAGACTTCAATGGTGACTGCTTAATTTATCAAATTTAACTACTAATATGACGCTGCTACTTTTCTCACAATTCTCCATATAGGTTTATCTTGAGACGTTAGACTTTCTAGAGGAAACATACAGTACTAACTAAAACAGAGTATTGATGAAGTTATGGCATTAAGAAACTGATTCATCTGCTATAAACTTTAATAAATATGCAAAATAAAACTGAATTTGTAATGTAAATAGGGCAATATTTATTTTTTGTAAAAGACAACTAACAAAAATGTTTTTAAAGATGGTACACTCATTATTTTCATCTAAATGTCCTCTAAAACTCTAAATGCTCCTTGTTACACATACATTTAAAGCCATGTTATGCTATAAAAATGAAGAAATATGCAAATCAGTATGTTAGATAGGTTCTAGTTAATGCCTAGCATGTAATAAACAAATGTCAAAAGACATGAAACCTCATTTATGTAATAAGTGTTAATTGAATAGTTACAGCTCTTCTAGTTATGCTTATAGGAAGCTCACAAAAGTAGAAAGACACAGCCCCATATAGTAATAGTAAAAGAGACTATTTTAAAGGTCTTATTAGGTTTCTAATAAGATGCCTCCGAAATATATCAGAAATACTTGTCATTAAAAATATAGATTTACTTCAAAATACAGTTTCATTACACATGTAAGAAAATTTATTATACAGGTTGTCAATATAGGGTCTAGGCTTACCAAATTTATAACAGAAAAGTAAGTTTCATCTTTCAGAGTGTGCGGTATGTAGTGCTGAGAACTTAAACCGACTACCTCATAGTATAATTATAGCCTAAAGCATAAGATATTCTGTTTTCTAGGTTTATACTGTTCTCAATGATAGCATTTATTGTCTTCTAGAAATCAATTTGGGGAATCATGCTAGTCTACTAAGTACCTCAGATAAGGCAATTCCATGAAGCATTCCAAGATTATCACAAGGAATTGCTCTTGTGGTCATAAAGTAAGAAATAAGCAGAATATGACCTGCTGAGGGAGGTTACAGTTTTACAGCCCCTCCTACTTCATCATTTAAGTCACTCAGTTACTGTAAACCCTGGACTACCACTCACAGATTGAAAGCAAAACAGTCATCACAAACCAGGCTCCAGCTGCCACTGCATGTGTGTCTCTCAGTCGATGATGAGGGTGTCAGAACCAATCCTGGACATGGATATGGGAAATTACAGTGAAGTTCTGGACCCAGCTTACACAAGTTTGGAGTTTGAAACTATGCAGATTTTATATAATTCAAATGGTGAGTTCTGAGCTGCTTGTAAGATATAAAAAATTACATAAGTATGTATACTGGGAGAGTAAAACTGAGCATTCTGGGATGGTGGTTCAGTGGTTTACTGCTGGAAACAAAGGCCTGCTTTTAAAGGCCACAGATCTGAGCTTTTGTACTTCATCACGGAATTTCAATTAATAATGCTATGGCTATTTCATGTTAGGAATAGAATAGTTTTGTGCATTAAAGTTATCTCAAGATTTTTGCTTGATACTACTGTTAAGAGCTAAAAAGAGTAGTTTCAGCAGTTATTTTCTGTAAATCATAGTAACAAATAACATTGGCAGATTGGCTGTGAAAGTATGTTTTCTATGCAATATTTAAAATGAATTATGGAACAAAGTTTTTGTGGAACATTAGAGAGTTTCACTGATTGCCTCCTTCTCTCATGATTCTTATTCTCAGTGGCAACTGATGAGAAATTGCTTTTAAAATGACTGTTAAGTTTTTGCACTAAACAAAAATATGAAAAGGAATAAGGGTTATATTATAATCTCACTTGACAAGCTAATGTTTAGCTACACAAGGCTTTTGGCATTTATCTACTGTAACATTTTAACTTTAAATAAGACATGAATTGTTTAGGGATCCTTTCTATAATTCAGTTTGCTGTTGACTTTGAATTTAGTTGTTTTTGTCAAGTAAAAAAGTCTTGTAAAATATAGGATTTAATGGTCAGGAATGCTGATATCTCATAATTACGTGTACTTGGGAAAGTCTGTAAGTGTATGTCTGTGTGTGAATATTTGGTTTCAGATTTAAAGAGCCTCTAATGGTAAGAATATCTTAGTATTTTATTATAATATACAATTTGTCTGGCTGATTCTTTGATTATATTTCCAGTAAATAAAAAGCTATTATTATTAGCTATGATTATGATTTTTAAAACATAGTCCAAAAATGAATTCTAAAATTTAAGATAAGTAAAATAAAATGAACCTGAGGTGAATCTCATAGGAAATTAACTTTTATGTATATTTAATATTTATCTCAATGGAGTCATGATTTCAAAGACTATAGATTCCTAAATGTAAGAGAAATTTACCATAAATATTTATCAGTATATATTAAAATGAGTAACTTGTGTGACTACTTATCATTTTACCTGTTTAACATAATAACTATTTTCAATATTTCTTTATAATATCCTAGAAAGCAATCAAATACTAAATACTTCCAATTTGTGATTGTTAATATCTATTTTGCTACTGCTACCAAATAAAAAATTCTTAACATTTGAATTTGATGATGTCACATGATTTACCTTAAATACCATTTCGTTAAAGTTTTTCCTACTTTAAATCTGGCATTGTGGTGTGAGCCTATAATTCCAGCACTCAGGAGTCTGAAGCAGGAGGATGGTTTAAGTTTGAGGCCAGCCTGGGCTCCATAGTGAGTTCCAGGCCACCCTGGACTGATAGTGAGATCTTGTCTCAAAAAAAAAATAAATAAAACAAAAACACTTTACATTTCCAAATTATGCTTTATTCTACTTTGTATTTCCAAATTATATATGGCAGTATGTATCTACTGAGAAATATTAGTAATAGAATATACATAATATCATAGAATATAATCGAGATATGATAATCTTTAATTTTATTCTTTAGAGTAGATATACTAAAAGGATATTTCCTGTATTAATAATTTATGTAGATTAAAATTTTAATCTGTTACTTTATAGATTTAACATCTTGAATACATACATATTTTTAAAAATTCTGTCAATAATATTAACTTTTTGAATAACTAAATATATACTGATACTGGAGATTTGAAGCCAGGCCTTTGTACACATTAGACAAGTGCTCTATCACTGAGTCCCCAGCCCCACATGTATAATTTTTAATGTCCCACCATAATATAACTATATATTCCTTACTTCCTATATGCTGTATATAATCCTAAAAGCTAAAAAATGGGGGAGAAAAACAGATTTCAGTTGAAGTTTATGTGTATGTGTAAAGATGGGTAATAAATGAAGAAAGCAATATGTGTGTATGCATATATTTATTTTTATTATATATAATAATTTTAGGCACTGTCATTGTCATTAAAAAGCAGTAATCAAAGCCCTACGCTCTTCCTCAAGAGCATATGAGTGTTGACTCTTTTAGATATATGCTTAGAAAAGGTTTCACACACAGTATGAGATTTGAATAGAAACCTTTTATCTAGCTTGAAGAAAGTCTTAGAGAAAATCTTTTCTTCCAGACAAGCATAGAAGTTCCAAAATGAAACTGGTCAAACAAACAAATAAAACAAGCAAGCAAAGAAAGAAAGAAAGAAAAAAGAAAGAAAGAAAGAAAGAAAGAAAGAAAGAAAGAAAGAAAGAAAGAAAGAAAGAAAGAAAAACAAAGACAGGAGCACACTGTAGAATAATGAACCAGATGGAGAGAGTGTGGTACCAGATATAGAGCTCATTGGTTGTTTGAGGGCAGGGATTTACGGGCTCTGGTAAACTGCACTGGCTTTGTTCGGTATCTAGGTATGAATCATGAGAGGACTGACCGAGCAGAGTAACAAGATAGGAATTTCTTCCACCAAGATCCTTTTAGTAGCTTTAGGATAATAAACACATTTAGTAGAGAAACAAAATTGAAAGTAGGAAAACTGGATAAAAAAATTAGATAGTAAGTTATTGCAATTATACAGGGGAAGAATGGTGGTGGGCTGGATACAGCCAATCACGGTGAATGACGGAAAAGTTGTAGATTAAATGTGTGTCTTAAATGTAGGTTTACTGATGGGTTAGATTGGAAGGATAATGGGGGAACTGAAGGAAAAAGTCTAAAGTTACTGGTTCTAGGCATTGGAGGAGACCATTGGCTGATATAGGGAAGACTAGAGGAAAAATAAATTCTCCTGGAAAAAATTGAAGTTCTGCTTTTGATATGTTGATTTGTGATCTTAGATTTCCAAGTCAAGCTTTTGCAGGGTTTGCTTATTTGTGATCCTGGGGACTTCCTTCCTGTCTTCCTTCCTTCTTTCCTTCCTTCCTTCCTTCCTTCCTTCCTTCCTTCCTTCCTTCCTCTCTCCCTCCCTTCCTTCCTTGTCTTCCTTCCCCACCCCCTCTCTTTAGAGATAGAGTCTAACCACGTTCCACAGGTCAAACTCGAAGTTATGATCCCCTTGTCCAAATCTCACGTAGTGCTGGGGTAGATTACAGGCAGGTGTACACCATTATACCTGGCCCAAATAAAGTCTTAATAGTATTGAAGCATTTCACACTGACACCCAGAGGAGATATCAGGAGAGAAATAGAATTTGATGATTTTTCCTTCATACAGATGATATTTAATATTTTGAGACTGTACGAGCCTCCTTTGGGTCTATAGTTGGAGAGCTGAACCATATGGTGTCCCAAAATTTCATGTGTAGAAAGGAAGCAGCCATACGTGCAAAGAAATACACTCTGTGGATTCTTCCAAGAAATCAAGGATCGACCTATTTTAGGGTATGAATAATGAATTGAGCAATTTTTCAAAAGCACTAATTCTAACTCTATTCTTTTTAAACATTTTTTTTTTAATTTTAAAGAGGGTAAAATTGAACAGAACAGAAGAAAACAAAACAGAACATAAGAAAGCAATGTAAGAGACATAGATTTAAAAACAAGACAATCAGGGATCTTCACTATCATATTGTCTGTTTTCTTCCAAATAGTTGACCCTATCTTCACATACATAGAATTCACATGAAACAACGTAGTGTAGAACTGATCTGAACAGAATGAGAAAGGCATTTCAGGTCTTCAAGATCAGACAATAGGAAAATCAACAATGGATGTCATTGTGTCTCTCATTCTTTTCAAAATAGCTGTCCACATCTTCATGTATATTAAAATTAAACAACACAAAACAGGCTAAAATCACTCTGAACAAAGAATAATAGTATTGCTGGATTTCACATCGTGACACTACAGGATCAGCACTGGGTACTGTAGTGTCTCTTTGTCTTCAAAGTAGTTGTTCATTTCATCATGCCTTATATGATCAGTTCTCATAAGCTGTTTATTGGTTCTACTCATGCAAGCTAACTCTATTCTTTAACAGAAAGTTCTACCCCAGAGACAACAAGTATGAATACCACAGACAACGGTGTCAACTGTTTGTGCGCAATATGTGGGGACAGAGCAACAGGGAAGCACTACGGTGCATCCAGCTGTGATGGGTGCAAAGGATTCTTCAGACGCAGCATACGCAAGAGTCACGTTTACTCCTGCAGGTTCGTGAAATGCTCCTTCCAGGGATGTTAATCTATAGAGATGTTTGAAAACAGTATGCCAGAAATAAGGGGAGAAAATTTAGAGCTCTCTTATATCCACAGGTCTGTGAACAATCTTTAAGCTGCAATGAAAATGAGGATGGGTGGACGTGTATGCGTGATACATTCACGTAGGCGGTTCTTTTTATGAAACATTTTAGACTTATAAAAAAGTATATAACAATTTCACTTCTCTACACCCAGTTTAGACCAATATATTGAATCCTCCTCTGGACACCTCCCCAGTCACTTGGTGTTTCTCCCTAGTCTCTCTAGGGTAACAACCTCGTGAATTTTGGTGTGATATTTTCCTTGTGTTTCTTTATTGCTTTACCACATGTTTATATACCACTAAACGTTTTAAAATCTGTGTTTAAATGATATCTCAGTGTATGCTTTTTCTGAACATTGGTTTTCTTCTTACTGTCACTAGATCATGAACTTTTAAAAACAAAATTATAAAAGTTCAGAAGATGATCTTGTAGCTTGTTTTCAATAAATGAAATTCAATTTTCAGTTCTAAATTTTAAAATTTTTTTCTCACATATTTTTTGATCATTGAATTTCAATGCTTTGCTTAAAGATATTTAAGTATATTGTATGTGCACATATCTATAGAAGTCTTTTAAAATAATTCTATCAACATCATAGGTCAATTTAGGTTGACCCTGGCTTGTGTAACAGTTTTCAAATGCACATTACAGGTTGAGTATAAACTGTTATAAATAGGATAGATTTTAACACAAGAAAGTCTGCAGTTGTTCTATCAAAGAATAGCATGTTGGGATTTTTACCTAACTTTAAGAACTATTTGGACACCTTAGAAAAAGCTTTCTTAGACCATGGTGCCATTTGATTCCTCAGAGCGAAATAAAAGTTAATACATAACTTCTCTAAATCTAACTAGTGTTCCCAAGTAATTTTTCCAGGAGAGTTTGATGTAGATATAAAGAAATATAAATTATCCACCTTAAAAATTTAATAAAGAAATGATATGAGTTTTGGATTTTATATAAAAAGTAGGTAGTATAAAAAGGTAATTCTTCCATCAAAATATTTTCTCTATGAAAGCCTTAAGTATAGGTTGTTCTTAAAAAGTAAAGGCTACAATAAAAATAAAACAGCATTTTTTGAAGTCATGTAGCTCTTGAAAAGTGAAATATACATTAAGTCAAACAACATTCCCACAGCTTGGAAGAGGCTGTGAGTAATAGGGCGAGGACTTTCTAGATTTCCACACATCCTGAGTGGGAAGAGTAAGAAAGAACAGTTTCCAGAGCAGCATCTAGAAGTTTAACAAAGATTCCAGCAGCGAGTGTAGTTTTAGCTTCCACATTTTCCCATCCCACATGGTGCCGTGAACCCCGCCATTCTCTAACCCTTCTTGCAGTAAGCAAATACTATGATTTTCCATTTGTATAGTTGTAATAATATTGATGTAACATTATTAGAGAAATAATATATATTTTAAGCTCAGATTCTGTTGTTTTTAATTTTAGTCTTTTTTTTTTTTTTTTTTTTTTGTCTTTTTCCTTTTATCGGTACCGGGAATCAAGCTCACAACTGCCTGCTTGCAAGGCAGGCGCTTATGCCTCTGAGCTAAATCCCCAGCCCTTAACTTCTTTCAATACCTTTCACACAAAGCTTTTGATGATGGCACTTTGTAAACTGGATTGTATGCTTATTTTAGATTGTAATATTCTTAAATGGAAGAAGCAGGTGCTATTTAACTTTTTATTCCCTATACCAGTGTCTTATCCATAATTGGTATTAATTTTAATGTTAATTAATTATACAATTCCTTCTGCTATTTGGTAATTTCATCCCCTCTCCTCGATCTCCTCATTCATACATTCAAAGTGAACCGTGTTGTTTTTTTCTCACTCTCAAAGCCTCTTTCTCTTTTAGCTCAGCTGCTTTTAAAGTAGGGTTTATTTCACAGTCATTTTTTTGTTTTGTTTTGTTTTGTTTTTTTGTTTTTTCATTTTTGTTTTTTCATTTTTACCGGTACCAGGGATCGAACTCACGACTGCCTGCTTGCAAGGCAGGTTATTTCACAGTCATTTTTAAGTGGCTACTCAGTTTAAAGAATTATTTATTTGTCATTATTTTTGTGATATTGGGGATTGAACACAGGGGTATCGCAGCGAGCTACATCCTTTTTTTTTTTTTTTTTTTTGAGATTGGATCTCACTAAATTTCTTAGATTGACCTGAAACTTGAGCTTTTACTCTCAAGTTCACAAATAGCTGAGATTAGAGGCATGTGCCACTACATCCAACTTGGAAAATTTTGTAGGTCACAGAGTATATTCTTTCATTCTTGCTAATTAATAATCAATTAAAACCACCAGGATATGGGTAAGAATGTTAAAGAAATGTATGTTTTAGCATATGATTAATATGTGACCAAACATGATAATACATTTGCACTAAAACAGTTTAAAAGAAGACTTTATTTTATAATTGTAAACTGGTGTTAATATCACCAAGTGGTACAAAGAATGAATGGTTAATCTGAGGATCGGAATCAGTTCCACAGACTGTAAAATTCTCAATATATAATGCAGCTTTTTAGCCTATTTGGAGTTGTTCAATCATCTCTGAAATCAATTTGAAGTAATTGTATCATCTTGTAAGAAAGCATTCAGGGGATTTAGCTCAGTGGCATAACACCTGCCTTGCAAGCGCACGGTCCTGAGTTCAGTCTCCGGTACTGATAAAAAAAAAAAAAGCTTTTAGTAGTCTTCCCTAGTTGATCCAATTCTCTTCAGTAACATGAGGCAACTACTAAGTTACTATATAATTATAAAGATTTGCCTTTCAACGATATTTTATGTAAATGAAATCATGCAACATATGGATTTTGGAGTCTGGCATTCTTTATTTAGAGTAGAATCTCTTCCAAAGGTTCATACATGTGGTACCATGTATCAGTACTTCATTGCTATTTATTGATAAATAGTCATATTTCCTTGTGCAGGCTGACCACATTTGTTTATTGCTTTACTTTTTTGACTGTTGTGTGTCACACTGCTATAGGCATATGTTTTTATTTCTTGGGTATAAACCAAGCATGGAATAACTGAGTCATATGGGTGTTCTCCCTTTTGGGAAATGCCAAAACTTTATTCCAAAACAAAAATATCACTTAATACTTTGATGAGCAGTACATGAGGGCTGTTTGTTCCATATCTTCACTAACACATAATTATTTTTCCTATCTATAGTCATTGAAATGCATATAAAATGATGTATCATTATGCAGAAATGACATGCTCAGTGTGGGTTTTCAATGGTTTTTTAATATATAATTTGGTATTTAGAGTAAATTTCAATCAGATGAAAGGTCTTTGAAATGAATAGAATAATGTATAAAAAGAAAAATAGCTTGAAAGTACAGGGAACTGAAATTTAACTATATTTTTCAACACTGAAATCATTTAGCAATAAGCAACTAGAATTTATATGCCAAAGATTTTAAAATTAGGTTTGACTTTTGTGATTCATGTTAGGGATTATAACGTATATTGGCCAAAACAATATACTAGTCATTCAGTTTTACTTTATTATAAAGACTAGGAGAGAGGTGAAGACTGTATTTGAATGTATACACTGATATTGAGAGTAAAAATTCTTAGTTAATTGCTTTTAAGCATTCTTTCAATTAACTCAAATTTGAATACTTTCAAGTTGTTTAGTCTGTGCTTGACATTTGGGTAAATAATATCTTTCTGTAAGCTAACATATCTTTGTTTGATGTTATAGATTCAGTCGTCAGTGTGTTGTTGACAAGGACAAAAGGAATCAATGTAGATACTGTCGATTAAGAAAATGTTTTAGAGCAGGAATGAAAAAAGAAGGTAATGATGATAATGATAATTACCATTATTGATAAAAATGATAAACATACACATTCTCTTTAATCACAATTACTTTTTGTGTGAATTTTCCTGTTTCTTTATATATGTGGAAACTACTAACACATTTCTTGAGTTAAAGAATTTAGCCAAGGTTATTCAGCTGTGCTTTCTGGTTGCTAACACCATTCCTTTCACCATCATGCTCTTGTGGGCGACAAAATTATTGCTACAAATAACATTGTAATGTCTTGTTCAAAAGATTAATGGCAAACTCTGTCAATAGATTGAAATTGTAATTATATTTTAAACACATTTTTATTTTTAGAACAATTGAGCGCATTTATTCACTTTTATCAACATTAACTAAACATTTACTTTTTAATGCATTTATCCATTTAACAGATAATTATTAAACACTCTCATTTTCTAAACACTGCTGCAGGTGTTGAAGCTTTAGTACTGAACACAATAGACAACCAATTCTACCCTCCAACCCAAGGAGTTTATATTCTATGCAGAGACACAGATAATAGATTGTATATATGACTTCAGTGTATATTAATATCATTCTGAATGTCTTAAACAATCTGATTATGTTTTTTTATATTCTAAATGCAGTTAATTAAACACATTTTTTTAGGAGCAGACTGAGGATCAAGCTCACAACCTCATACTTGCCAGCCAGGCACTTATGCCACTGAGCTAAATGCCCGGCTCAACATCTTAAACATTTGGCAGGTATATGAGCAGCAAGGTTTCATGCCTCTCAGCTTTGCTATAACACTGAGTCTATCATACACAAAGATATATTTTTATAACTATCTCAGATTTTAAAAATTAAATCATTACATCACAGAAGAATAAAGTATATCAAATCTATCTTGAACTTTGTTGATGTTTTTCTTTGTCTTTATTTTAAAATTATAAAATTTCTATTAACTTTCTCATATCACCAGGCTTTAAAGAGAACACCAAAAAGTTATGTTCACAAAATTGAACAGTTTTTTAATTTCAGAAATGTCAACTTTGATGTTCTGAAGCTGTATTTGGTACTTACAATGTTAATAAACTTTGTCAGTTGTGTTTAGGCACTTTGACTTGACCCCTACCCACTGCCTTCACATACACATAAAAAAATCACAATCTTATATTTCTTTTCTGACTTTTACAGTGGTAAAATAGTGCTTCTGAAAATAGTGAGAAGTTTCCTTTAACTGTTCATGAGACAGTATGTTAATTTTTAAAAGTAGATTACAAAATCAAGTTTTGAGTTTCAAAATTGACATATTTCTCTTCTGTATGTATGAATGTATGTATGTATTTTGAGATAAAATTTCCTTTGTAGGTCAAGCTGGTCTTAATCTTGAACGCATGGCAATCCTCCTGTTTCAGCATTCTAAGTGCTGAGATTCTAGGTGTGCACCACCACTTCCAGCTATTTCTCTTCTTTACAGTAATAACATAAAGTAGAAATTAGTTAAAAAGAAATGAATGCACAAAATTTACAGAAAAATTGAAAACAATGAAAATGATACCAATGTTCACAATATATTTTAGTATTTTTCTAGATTGATTATGTAATGAAATTTATAAAATCATAGCAAACATCTTACTGATTATCTCTGCATGTACATTTCCAAATGAGTCAGTTTAGGTTGAAAATCAATAACAATTTATGCTTACAGAAAAGTAAGCTACCAGTAAGTGTGATTATGAAATAAAATATTAATGATTCATTCAGCCTTAAAGACTACTTACTCTTTTTTAAAGGCAAAAAGACCAGTATTTTTTCCTCTAACTTAAGGAAGTTGATCCTGAATTGTGATTTTTTGGTCTCTTTTACATACCTTTAGCATACAACCTGATGCATTTCTTTAATAAAACGGTAATTGTAGAAAAAATTTGAGAGCTTAATTCTTTGTTTTCCCAGCAGAACAGAAGAGAGAGTTAACCTAAATAATTTAAGGGCTACAGGCCTTGATTTCCTTCTCTTCAGTTAATACAAGATCATTAATACATATCACAAGTTTTGAAATTTAGCTTTGATATTAACTCTATTATTGTTTATATAAGCATATATTTATACCAATATATGTTATAAGCTTCCCTTCTCAGGCTTCTTTTTGTTAAAAAATGTAGCTATCAATAAGATATTTGGAGAAATGCATTATTTCTTCTTTTCAGAATAGTGAGGAGCCATATCTAGCCATCGTTAGAGACCTTTCGTATAATATAGTATGAGGAACGTCTTTCTCTTACCAAATAGTTAATGCTTGAACTTTGATCTCCTCAGGAGATAACTCAGACTGGTACAACATTTTTTATTAATGCCTATAAACTGTCCCAAGGGCAATGTTTCATTAGTGATTATAATATTGCCATCTTAACACTACCTCAAAATTTAAAAAATTGCTTTCCATTTTGGTAGTGTTTTACTGGAAAAAGAAAATAAGAGTTTCAAATTCTATGACTCATATCTTCCAGTAGTAAATACACTTTATCTTTGACCTGGTCAATCTCATAGGCAATGGTCTTCTTCTAGTTATCATATACTGTTATTACCTTTGAGAGAATAAAAAGCCAATCTATTGAAAGTGCAACATGGCAGAACTCACTGACTTAACACTTTGAATGTATACTCCACACACATTCGTGAAGTCCCAAATGCTAATCTCTAATGAATTCTGTTGCCAAGCCTGGCTTTCCCTACTTTGGATAGTACAGGATAAAAAGATCTTCATTATTAAGTATCTATTACCCAAATATTTTAGAAATATCATTTCTTATTTTTTGTAACTTTTCTTAAACATTAAACTGTGTATCATGCTATATATTGAAGAGCTCTAACCAGTAAACACTGTGGTTTCCCCTTTAGCTGTTCAAAATGAACGTGACCGAATTAGCACCAGAAGAAGCACATTTGATGGCAGCAACATTCCCTCCATTAACACGCTGGCACAAGCTGAAATTCGGTCTCGGCAGGTACTGACTCACGAGCATCCAGTTTCCTTCCAACAGAATCAAATGTCTCTATTCATAATGCTAAAATAAAGTCAACCCACTGAAATTAGTGCTCACTATTAAAGTACATCTACACAAGTTGAATGCTAATTTGAACATATCAGTGAGACTTTTAACTGTGATTTTTCTGGGATATGATCTCATTCTTTAATTAAAAATGAAATAAATTATAGTTTCAAATATTTGAACAAAGAGTTTACTCAAAAGACTGATTAAAAAAACTTAAAAAAATTATCGTGTTGGGGGACCACTTTGTTGGTTGATCTATCATGTTAACTGTTACAACTTTTGGGGAGCCTGCTTGAGAAATATCATCAAATTCTTCAAAAAGATTTCTGGACTCCAGGAGTCACATTGGCATCTACTTTGCAAGCAGATATTCAAATGAAGAGCCAGGATTTAGAAAATACAGTGAAATGCAACTCTATTATTTTAAATTTCTAAAGTATCAGGTTTAAAGTTTAAAGTCATTAGTTACAGAGGTAAAAATAAAGCACTTCATAATTCAATAAAGAAAGAAACTGCTTAAGAAAGTTTATTTTAAAATTATGAAATAGGTAAGCAATCAAGTCCTATAGAGACAGACTCTTTTCCTTTTTGATTGCACCAGAGTAATATGATGAAGTTAATATCCCCATTATCATTATTACTTGAAGATTACTTGATGGTCCAATAAAGCATTTAGCAAGTGGTTTAAAGGCAAACTATGAGGAAATATCTGGGTGCACATAAAGACACATACACAGGCAGACATGTTCAAAAGTTAAATTCACAAAACAGTTTTAAAGAGACTCACTTTTTCACTACTTTTTTTTCAAATTCATTTTTATTTCAAAGAGAAAAAATAAAACAAAATTTCAAAACACAACATATATAGTTAAGATCATTATACTACTGATTCCTCTGAGTGCACTGACGAGAAAGGTTTGCACTGGTACTGCTTGAACAATTGCATGCAGATGTGTTTTGCTCTGGGTGACTGATTTGGGGATGGTGATAAGAAATGTATGTACCATGTTGCCCTCTGATTGTTGTATTTCACTGCTTTTTATAAATGCCACTACATTGTTATTAAGTTTAATAGTAAAAACAGTTTGAAGTGTATATGCTAAAGTCTTCAAACATTGCTGAGTCAAGGATTCATTTCTTAATTTTATTTTGATGGGCTTCCACTTAATTTGATAGCATAAATAATTCTGACGTCTCATCTAAATCTTTTTTCCCTACTTGGTAAACTATATTCACTGGATGAATGTTTTCTTCACAAATGTTAACAAATTGAAAATGGACTTCTCAATTGAAATACCAATATCTTTTTATTTTGACGGTAGTGGGTACGGTGCTTGAACTCGTGGTTTCACCGTGAACTAACTAGCATATGCTCACTAAGTAGCTTAGCCTCTAAAGTTTGACTCTCCTGTTTCAGCTTCTTGAGTTGCTGTGATTTCATAAACATGCCTTTGTATAATTCCTGTGTAAATGTAATTTTTAAGTTAAGGATAAGATCATGATACATATTTCATGTGGATACTCGTTATCTTTTTATGTAACCATTGTAAATTATAAGTCTCATAAGTTTTGGTAACTTCTTTATTTATTTAGCTTTTGAAATAAGACAGCTTCTAGGTCATGGTGCTATGCACTGAGTGTCTTATAAACTGATAGGTATTTTGTTTCTTAAATTAAAAATGTCTAATATACGCCTGGAAGTCTAGTTCAAAGGTAGAGCATTTGCCTAGTATTCATGAAATTCTGGGTTCAATTCCCAGACTGCAAAACTAAAACAAATAACACAAAACAAAATTATGTTATGTATTTCAAGATAAGGTGAGGATAATAAGTGTCTGTTTCAATAGGGTTATGTAAAACAATCATACAGTAACTAGAGAATGTCGGCCATGTGTTATTTTAAATAATGAATTAGTATAATGATCTTTTACTAGATCTCAGTCTCCAGTCCCGGGGCAAGTACTGACATAAACGTGAAGAAAATTGCAAGCATTGGTGATGTCTGTGAGTCTATGAAGCAGCAGCTCTTAGTCCTGGTGGAATGGGCCAAGTACATTCCTGCTTTCTGTGAGTTACCGCTGGATGACCAGGTATAAGCTGATGAAATCATGATTAATTTAAAAATGTTTTCTGAACTTCCCTAGGTTTTTATGCTCTTTGAATTTTATTTGTAATATATGCACTGTAACAGTCAAGGAATGCAATACTTATGAGAAAGGATTAGGCTTTCTTATTCCGCTTTCTTGTTCTGTCAAGAGGTACTACTGCCTGACTTGTGTATCAGGGCTGTAGCAAACTTATTGATTGGACAAGTGTTGATCAAGACACTGTTCTTCCCTCAAAGAGATAGAGAAGCTTAAGTAGGGGAGGAAAATGGATTGTAAGTTACCATTATGAGACAAGTTATTGGAAGAATAAGCTGCTGGGAAGTGAAAGCTGTGCTTGGTGTGTAAGAACATGCCCTGTAAATTTCTTCAGAAATACCTGGATACTCTTAGTCAAATCCAAATAGGATGTGTTGTCACTGTGGGCAGCTGATGGAACTGACAAAATTTTTGCCTGCCATGCTATCATTTGTATCTTGACACTCATTATATGAAAAATATGAATATGCAAAAATGTCTATAGAACCCTGATCAGAATTCTACAGAGAAATAGAATTCATATATACTCATCTTTCTCTAATACATATAGTTTTATATTTTATATGTAAATTAATATATTTAATTGTTAATTGGGAACCTGAATTTTCTAATTAGTCTGTGAAGATTAGATTATTTGTTGAACTATTTTTACTAAGTAGTATAAAACTTTTATAAGTGAAAGTAATTTGTATATTTCCATTTCTCTCATAATGAAAGAATACACCAACATAAATATGACACTCAGTGCATATTTATATACTCTCAGATCAATGCTTCATCAGGAATACACTGAAACAAAGGAACAATCAAAGAGGAAAGGAAAGGGCATAAGTATGCAAACATCAAAGTAGGGAAAACTACATAACCAAAAATTCATCCTATAATTTTAGCATTTGTATTTCTAAGAAAACATTTCACCTGGTGACAGGGAAAAAAAATCTGAAATCTGAAATTATTTTTAAACTGTTGTGTAACTGCCTTCCTGGAATGAGTCACAGTTATTGACATGTCATAAAGATAGCTTGGCCCAGAAGGTCATGCCATAGTGAATAATGCTAAATTGCTAAAACCTACCAGTCTCGATCTAAGCAATATAAGTAGGGCTGTGGTATTTATCAGTTTTATATTTTTATTATCATTCTTCCTTAAAAGTTGCTGACTTACATGTCCAGACCTTTTAAATATTGGGAAACCGAAATCTAGTAACTAGTCAAAAAAATTTTCACTTGCTGACTAATAGTTACTATTAAAAGTATGATATTATTAGCCAGGAAATGGCACATGTTCACTAGGAGTAAGGCACTGGGGAATTAGGTTTCAGATGCATTGTCATTGCAGTGCTTTATTTAAACTCTCAGAAGCCCGGTGGTATAGCTGTTATTTCTACTTTATAGTTTCTAAAAATGAACTCTATACAGTTATATTCATTCCATAAATTCATCAAGGGAGCATTTATTAGGAGGCTACTGTTCAGTTTTAGGAACTGTGTCTCTTCTGTAGTAAAAATGCAGATTGCTTCACTATCTCATAAAGTTGGTGTTCTATGTGGGAGAGACAGACAATAAAAATATGTAAATTATGAGTAAGTCAAACCTAGGTGGGGATAAGTTCTATAAAATGCTATAATATGGAGTAGGATGCCGTAGAATGAATGGAGAGGGAATGGCAAGAGCTACTTTGTCATGGGAACTGAAGATGTTTGCTGAGACCTAAATGGCAAGGGCCACCATTCCAAGAAAAGCCAAAGCATTCTGGGTATAAAACAACATGTTCAAGGTTCTGAGTCAAGCAGGAGCAATGTGAACAAGAAGTGCTGATAGATACAGCCAGGGGAATGGGGGTGGAGTATAGGAGACAGAGCATTGAACCACCTGACTTCTCCTAAGGAGCCTGGGTTTTCCTCTAAGGATAATCTAAGGTCACTGATGAGTTTTCAGCACAGATATTAAATGATTACTGTTTCTAAATATAGCACCTTCAAATCTCTGATAGAAATGAGTTAGAATGGAGCACTCAGGAAACAGAAATACATGTCTGAGTGTGTTGGTGTGGCAGCTGAAACCTGACCAAGGCCTGGACCGAGGTCAGCAGGCAGAGTAGAAAGAACATGAGTATCTCTGGGTTGATTTGGCCTATTTTTTGAAAAGCAAAACTAGGGTTTGATTCCTGTTTGAATGTCAGCAAGCACCTCGGATGATGGTACCATTTTCTAAGGTGATGAAGACCTCAGAGAAGTAGTATTCTGGTAATTTGGATTTGAAATACTTCCTCTGCTTCCTAGTGGCGATGCCCAGAGTGCAACCAAGTGTCAAGTGCAGATCAGTGAAAGAGTTTACTGCGGTCAGAGGCTCGATCTGGAAAGTGACTGAATCCAGACCTCTATGCTTTTCTCACTACAAGTTCTTGCTTTTTTTATAATTCAATTTATTGCACATATTTTACTTAGTGATATGAGTATTATTGGAGATTTTTTAAATCATTATTCCATTCTACAGAGAAAAACAAACACAGATGATTTCCAAACACAGTGGTCTATTTAACCAGCATTAAATAAGTAGAAGTTGGCCAGTCTGCTGGATTTGAAATCTAGTCTACTTGATGTTGTTTTCCTCAAAAATATTTAGCTGCTGTATGGTTTGTATAATGCCCCACTACTGATTTGTTAGATATTTTTAGGGATTTTCATAAGCAAATTTTCAGCAAATGAAAATAGAATTCTAGAAAACTTATAAAGTCAACGATCTGTGAATATTAGTTTGCAACAAAAATATAATAAAAACATCTCAGGCTTAAAGAACACTGCAAGGCAATCAGAGTTATATTATGCTGTCTTTTAATCATTACATTTTATAATTAATTGTTAAACTTGGAATTTTTCATTAAGGTGGCCCTGTTAAGAGCTCATGCAGGAGAACACTTACTGCTTGGAGCTACAAAGAGATCCATGATGTATAAAGATATTTTGCTTTTGGGTAAGATTTTTTTTTTCATTTAAGAAGAAATCACGTATATTTTATCCTTAAGATAAACTATAAACTATATTCTGTATGTACCAAGCATTTATAGTTCTATTGCTTCATGGCTTTGATTTAATTGATTCTGTCCTCACTCAGCCCTAATTTTCCATACTTTTATTACATATAAATTCACAGTGCATGAGATGATTGGAAAACATCAGGCTTTAAAAATGAAAGAAGATGTTATTCAGTAAACATATTGAGTGATGCCTAAATCTTACCAGGATAAGGAATTAGTGACTTAAATGACCACCTCTAAGGACAAACATGGATTTATACTCTTTTGTGTCTGTATAATAATTATTAGACACTTTTCAGGACTATGCTTATTCTCTATAATCTCATTATCTATAATATACTGAAAATAATCAGGTAACAAATTGGTGGCAATGTCTGAAGCATTTTGATAGACACATGTGCTTGAAAAAATAGGAAGGTACTTGAAGAACAGAAAAAGCTTCAAGACAAAGTTTTGTTAGTCATTAATTGTTCTGCTCCCCACTCTACTTAACTCATAAGATTAGGCTGTGAGTGTTGAGATTCTTCCAACACTGTCAGTTTTACCTCTTTCTGGCTTATACAAAATCATGGCTGAATTTTTTATTTTATATTTTCATGTGGTAAATATTTTGGCTCCAAATATGAACGAGTGCAGCACAATATATTAAAGACTGTTAATCACTGATCTAAGAGCTATTCTGTGCAGCTATTTGCAGGTGAAGAAATGGAAACAGACAAGTTACCTATGAGCGCAAAGCTAGGAAAGAAGAGTCAGGATTCTAAAGCACATAATGTGACTGCAGAGGTTATGCCCTAAAACTTTATGAAATACATTTTCTTTTGCAATTTTAGTAGATATTTCAAGTGCTGTTTGTTCATTATGGATCTGAATACAGTATAGCCTAGAAAACAAAGTGTCTGCTGTCCCATTCTAAATTATTTTGCCTTGAATAATTAGGTAAGCTAATTTTTCCTAAGAAAGAATATAACTCAAAATCAAGTAATAATGTGAAGTGATCCAATGTTTTTTAGCTTATTGGTTATCATTTGCCTATGTATATGTATATGCATATGCATGTATAAATATCACATTATATTCTTTTAACTAGGTACATTGTTTTTGTCTAAAACACCTCAATATAGCTAGAGACAAGAGTAAAGTCACATTGAATAGATACAACTATTCAGGGTAATGAGGTATTACCCTGAAGATTCTTGTTTATTAACTTTTCATGACTCTGACAAAAGTATCTTGGATATTAATTTAAAAGAAGGAAAGGATTTCTTTGGATTTTGGTTTCAGAGAGCTTGGTCCTGTTGCTGTAGGCTTCAAGTAGCATAGAGCAGGAGTGCATGGCCAGGGTTTCTTCGCCTTATGGTAAAGAGAGATAGAGAAAGAGTGAAGAATCCAGGGTTTGTCCTAATGCCCACCTCAGTGCCACCCCCCAGTGACTTCACTGTTATCCACCAAGCTCTTCCTTCTAAAAGTTCCATCACTTCCTAATAATGGTATTGTCTGAGACCAAAATTTTGACCTATTGATTGGGAGAAGTCAAATATGACCTAAAATAGGTATCTTTGCCTTAAATGGTAGAATTCAGAGATGTTACTTTTGTTTTTAAAATCGGAAAATAGTAATTTAGTTATATTTGACAAGATATTATATTATTTATCATATAATAATAAAAAAATTTAAATTAGAATAGCATGAGGAACTGCACAACAGGCTTGATGGTGGCACCATAAGCATTCTGGAGATTGAGGCAGGAGGATCACCACAAGTTCAAGGCCAGCATGGGCTACATAAGACCAGCCTGTATTACATAGCAAGACCTTGTCTGAGAAAAAAAGAAAGAAAGAATTTCATGGTCCAGCTCTCTATTCGGTTTTTGAGTATCAGATTCAGCACTATAAAATGATTATTCCTCTTCTAGCTAAGGAAACCAAAGAAGAAAAACAGGGAATTTACAATTCACTGGGACAACTCTTGAGAACATATGTGCTGATTTTTAAATAATCATCCTCTTTGGCTTATTTATACTGGGAGTAAATAGTTCTTACTACTTAGATCTGGAGCACCAAAGGATGGCTTTTTAATCCTATGAGCAAAGTAGATATTTTAGGAGTTGTACTGTGCTTACTAATAAAAAAACTAATAGATAACAAATAGGAAAGTTAACCAGCATATTTTGACTCTCCTTTGTCAACTGTTAACTTTCAATTCTCTGTAATTTCATGTTTTCACTAATGACCAAAGCTGTTAAAATGCTTGTAATCACATTATTATCATTATTGATCCTTTAAGTATAATTTTTTTCTCATGATTAACCTAACACTGCTGGGAACTATACTAACACTGTTCCTTCAAAAGCGGACTCATTCAAATACTGATGCATAAAATTTAAATAATTGAAAATTTAGCAGAAGTGACTGTTTTTTTCCTTTTAGGAAACAACTATGTTATTCATCGTAATAGCTGTGAAATTGAAATCAGCCGAGTGGCCAATCGGGTTCTCGATGAACTTGTCCGACCCTTTCAGGAAATCCAGATTGATGACAATGAGTATGCATGTTTGAAGGCAATTGTGTTTTTTGATCCAGGTTGGTTTTCAAAACTTCATTAATAACTTATATAATGAGATTTAACTAGTTTTTGTATTAGAGTATTTTTCTCATATTCCAATCTTCAGATTGACTTCTTTTTTCCCTTTATTAGATGCAAAAGGCTTAAGTGACCCAGTAAAAATTAAGAATATGAGGTTCCAAGTGCAGATTAGCTTGGAGGACTACATCAATGACCGGCAGTACGACTCCCGAGGGAGGTTTGGCGAGCTACTTCTCCTGCTACCCACGCTGCAGAGCATCACCTGGCAAATGATCGAGCAAATACAGTTCGTTAAACTTTTCGGCATGGTCAAAATAGACAACTTACTTCAGGAAATGTTACTGGGTGGTGAGTACATTGAGGGATTGCCATGTTATTGATTAGCATGATTCTATGTCTCCTAAAATAAGTTTGACCTATTCGTTTACTTTTGTCCAAATTTATTTCATGTTATGATGTTGTTAAATGTTCCTGTCTTCTTCTGCCATGACATAATAAATTGAATTTATTACATTTAGAAAATCTTCAGGCTAGGAGTTTAGCTCAGTGGTGTAAGTGCCTGCCAAGCAAGTGCGAAATTGGGGTTCAATACCTGGTACAAAAAAAAGAAAAAGAAAGAAAGAAAAAAAGAAAGAAAGATAGACAGACAGACAGGAAGAGAGAGAGAGAGAGAGAGAGAGAGAGAGTGAGAGAGAGAGAGAGAGAGAGAGAAAGAAAGAGAGAAAGAAAGAAAGAAAGGAAGGAAGGAAGAAAGAATCTGCAAAATCCAACTTAGAGCGACAAAAATACCTAAATCAATTCCTCATTCTTTATCAGCCTCTGCTATCTTTTCTGCACACAGTCCCATTTACTTCACTTTTCAGAACCTTCTATGTAAAGAAAATAGAAATATGTTTCCCATATTTGTCTCTTCTTGTAGAATACTATGTTTTTTATTTGCTTAATTCCTTTAAAACTTCCAGATTACAGAAATTGTTACATAGCCAAGAATTTGGTTAACATAAAGTAATAGAATAGGAAAATAGGATTTTTGATGTTGTAATAAATGTCAGGAGGAAGTTTTAGTTCTGAAATACATTAAATTATTTGTAAAGTTATTGTATTATTTTTAGCATACTGGTGCTAAATGTGTTCTTAATGATACACTTCTGAAATAAAGTTTGGTCATTCTAGTAGGGTGATGCTAAATACAATAAATTTGATGTAAGCAATTCTTGGCATTGTAACAACAGTCAGGAGGCCTAATGATTCTTGGAAAACACCCACGGTCTGTTATTAATATATTATATTTATATTTATTAATATATTATATACAATATATTAATATATTATATTTATACTTATTAATATAAATAATTAATAATATTAATAATATATTAATATATTAACATTACAATGCAGAATTAATCTATTTAGTGGATAGTGAAAGCTGACATTGTTCTTAATATGATAGTCCTTTTCAATTCATTTTTAATTCTCAAAAAAATGTTTATCAAATACAGCAGTATTGAAAGTGTCAGCCAAAATATCTGTGCCAAGATAAACTAGCTGCTCCTCATTAATGGAATCATCTTTTTATTTTCTGTAGGTGCCTCCAATGATGGGAGTCATCTTCACCATCCAGTGCACCCACATTTATCTCAAGATCCGCTAACTGGACAAACCATAGTTTTAGGACCCATGTCAACACTGGTTCATACAGACCAGATCTGTAAGTAAATAAGCTACTTTTCTACATAATATTTAAACTTTACTATTTGAGAAAAAATGGAGTTTGGGAAAATAATATATTATTACCCAGAAATGGCAAAAATTGGGTAGAATTTCCTTTGTAGAACTGTACTTCGGGAGATTATAACATTCACATAGCCATTTATTTTCCCTGGGTATGAATTTGCCTCCTTAACTGAAGGTATAAGAACTTCATTTAAAAAAAAAAAAAATATATATATATATATAAACTTTGGGAGCACAAAAGATCATATAGTTCCAGTTTTGCATGGTGGTACTGAACTCTGAAATGATTATATAAGCTAAAGTCATGCAAAGGAATTCTAAAAATCGATAAGAAAGTTATGATTGTTTGTGATCATTAACAATGGCAAGAAATTAAGACTAATTTTCTTTACAGAATATAAATGTATAAGGAAACTTAAAAAGAAACTGACATTTATTATTTAGTGTACTGCAATGTAAAACACTAAAAGCAAAGTTCCTAGTATTTTATAGAAATTTTGTAGAGTAGTTTGAACAGTGTTTGTAATTTCCAACTACTAGTAGGAAATGAACACCATGTCTGTGCCTGGATGGCTTTTACTCATTTGGCAGTTTGAGTCAACTTCCAATATTTTATTCTTTGTATGTTCAAAGTCCTGAAATATCTCTTAGAACTTGTTTAGTGTGAAGAATTTTGGTTATTACTTTCTACATCTATCTATCAGTCCTGTGGATTTGTCTCTACCAGACAAGGGCACTAGCACTGAGATACATTCTTTACTGAGTTTTTTGTTATTTAAGCTCTTAGTTACATCTTCAAAAAGTCAAACATAGGCAGCATCAATATCCCCATGCTTATCTACTTTTTTGATGATTCCATTTATATTCTATATATTACTCCTAATCCATCACATCGGTTTTTTTTTCTTTTTTTCTTTTTTTATTATTGGTACTGGGGATCGAACACACAACCGCCTGCTTGCAAGGCAGGTGCTTATGCCACTGAGCTAAATCCCCAGCCCCTAATCCATCACATCTTACATGGAGCTTTGCTGTGCTTTCACCTTTACTGGCCAATTCTCCTTCAATGATCTATATTTTTTGAAAATTTTACATACATTTATCACCAGCAGAAAAAGAATCAGTACAAAGCTACACTAAAAGATGGTCTGTGACCAATCATGCATAGACTGAGAGGTGTGACCTGATAATTGGCAGATCACAGAATCCATTTATTATTTAGGAAGCTGTTTGTGGACCTAGAGAAGTTTGTGTGCATGCATTTACTCAGTTAATTGTGAGTTATGAAGGGAATTGAAAATTGAAAAGACTTGCAAGAGTGGCGCAATTTAATTACGTAGTGGTAACAGGAATTTTTGCATGTCCAAAATAAGGGCTGGTTTTGAAAACTCTAGAAATCTAAAGAGCATACAAATATTAATAATTGTTAGTACTTAAATTAACTATATATTATTCCAACTTTAATGCTGGTTCTATTTTTCTAAGTTACTTCAGGAATCAAAATGTTTGAAAAATTTCTAGAATTAACTGAGTAGTGACTCCTGAACTTAATGCATTTTTAACTTTGATCTATTGCCTCTGAATACAAAACCAGGTAAATCACCTGAATTATTGTTGCCTACGTTTTATGCCTATACATAAGATCTACTGAATTTACCACAGTCTTTAATATCTGGTTTCAGTGCTGTTTTATTCAAATGTAATGCAGCCACCATTGGGGGAGCATCATCTGATTACTGGTGGGTGGGAGGAAAAGTAGAGGCCGCAGAACTCCCTGTTACTGTGCTCTGCTTTATATATAAGCAGTGGTGGATCGTTGGGTAAACTGTGTCTGAAACACAAAATTGTCTGAGTTTATGAAAAATATAAAATTCTTAAGAACAATTCTGAATCCTGGAAATGATGCATCTGCAATCTCCAATGTATTTGGAGGACATTACTTTGGGAAGATTACTTGCAAAGTCATGTTATTTTTCATTTAACAGTTAAGAATGGAGAGAGGAGAGTCAATTGCCATACCAAGAAATCTGTGGAACTACGTCTCTTAGAAATCTGTTATTCATAAACTTGGGAGCTAAAACATATTAACAACACATTAAACACTGTATGCTTTAGCTGGAGGGAGAATTCAGCAGCTCTGCTGGTGGAAAAATCCTTTACAGTTTAAGTTCTAGTATTCTAGTATTTAAAGAAGCGTAGCTGTGTATCCCAATATGTTAAGAATGGCATCATCACACTTTGTATTTGTTTTCCATCTTGGAACATAATATTTATAAGAATCATCTGTGAAGGAAAGCTTTTGTCTTTGCTTGTCCTCATTTAAAATATTTAAAGAGTTAAAATGTCTAAATTTTTTCATTCAACAAAAACTTAATAAATATTTCCTTGCTCTTCTAAAGACAACAATTTTAAATGTAGTCTAAGTGTCTAAAATATTCTAAAAAGCAAATTTGTATTTTTTGTCAATTAAACTGCATTTAAATGACATTCCTAAGAAATTTTTAATCTATGTTTAACAAAAATACAAAATTAATGGATTAGGAAAGACCACGTGAAAATAATTTGTTTTATGTAGAGCCTTGAAACTGTGAAAAAAGGGACCAGAACTGTAACTCAGAGTCTGCCTGGCAAATACAAGGCCCTGTATTTGATTCCCAGTTTAAAAAAAATATTCAAAACAAAACAAAACATCACAATAAAATATTTACATGATTTACAGGGCTACAGTGTGAACACTCTACTGCTTCTATTAAATATATAGGATAATAAATGTGAATTATTTTAAGAATTTTTAAACAATTTTTAAATTATAGAATAACTCCTAGATTATAGTATAATCTGATAAAAATTCACATTAGGAAGAAATACTATTTCAAACATTGGAGTGTTAACACTACAATGCGTGTATATTCAATTTTTATATTTAATTATTTTCCGTTCAACTATGTAAGCACGTTCTTTCTGTTGAAGGAGACAGGACAGGCAAGCTCAATTTTGATAGAATAACTGTGAAGCAGCAAAGTCTATTTTATATGCTACTGACTATAGCTTGGATTTCCACTTATAAAGCATGTTAGCTTTAATTTTTGTGTCATTAATATATCCAAATTATGTTAGAGATTTAGCTCAGTGGCACAAGTGCCTGCCTGGCACGAGCAAGGTTGTGAGTTTGATCCCTGGTCATACACACACACACACACACACACACACACACACATCTCCAAGTTAGTGAACTCCAAGGCAAATATATTTTAATTTTGTATGCATTTTGATTGCAAACATGATTGTGTTCTAATTGAAAAAAACAATACCCTGTTAATTCTTTTCTTCAACATCTGGATGTTTTAGAGAATTAAATATTGATAATAAATGCTTTTAACTTTTAAAGGTGCTATGAAGAACTTTTGGTTTAATCCAATGCTGTAAAATGGAAATGGGAGAACTTTTCAAAAACATTTCCAAAATACAGTTATGCATATTAGCACTGTGTAGGGTTTACTGAGGTAGGCAGGTGTGCTGCTGCTATTGAATACCATTCTCTGGTTTTTTTCCAGCAACTCCTGAAACACCGCTTCCTTCCCCACCACAAGGCTCTGGACAGGAACAATACAAAATCGCTCCAAACCAAGCTTCAGTCATTTCACATCAGGGCCTTACCAAACAAAAGCAACTGTGAGGCTGTTTACTTCCGAACGGCACTGCCTAAATGTGAAAAATTGTCGATCGTGAAATATCTCAGGATAGTACTTTTGACAAACTCTTAGCCAAGGTTTCTTCATGGTGCTGTTGTAATATGGTATCCTATTTTCTTGTTTGTGTATTCATTTTGTTTGTTGTTTCTACAGTGTAAAACTTTCACATGCAACCAATGTATGTTTGAGTTTGAAATTGTTTATATAGTGTATTGTTTGTAGTTGGCCCTGCACTGAGCTGAACCTGTGGAATCTTTTGTACTACTTTCATAATATTAATTTAAATCTGTAAATAATTGTTTTATTGTGGCTTGATGAAGATTTAAATGTTCCCTTTTGCTAAGAGCAGTAGATTAGAAATGCTATGTTAACATAAAATGAACCAAGTTTTATTTTTCCATAAATTATAATCTTGAAGTTTGGAAAGCTAAAACAGTGGCTATAGAATAGAATTATTTTTTGTCTTCTCCTAAACGAAGAATCACTTATAGATATTCTGTGGCTAAGAAGTATGTCTTTGGTCCGCAGTTAAATATGCTTATTTTAAATTCAAAATATTATAAAATGCCATTCTAAGAATGATTGAATACTCTTTGAAATCTAACTATATTTGAAAGTGTATGCTAAAATAAAATGTATTTATTTTATTGGTTAGGATACATGTTAGACTACAACGACAACAACAACAACAACAACAAAAAAAAAAAAAAAAACCCTAAAACACAGAATAATTCAAAGAGACATTTGTCTGTCTTGAAACGATCTAGAAAGTTATCTACTAACTAGAAATGAGCACACTCCTCGTCGTGCTCATTGGGAGGAGGAAGGATACTCTTTTAGCAGAAATCCTGTGCTAATGAAAGCTGTGCCGCTTTGGAATAGCCATTTTGGGGGGACAAATTAACTGCCTGCCACACACGTGCCTCATTTAACCCTCACAGCAATTCTGCAAGGGAAGTTTTACTATATCTTTTTTTATATATAAAAGAAACTTTCAGTTTGAGGGTTTAAAGAGCATAACGAATTTTTTATGGCTAAAGAGTAATCCAGTGCAAACCCAGCTCTGTAATGAGACTGTCTGTTTGGTGAGTGGAAAGAAACATTTGAATTTTTTACTTATGGTGTGGTTTTTAAATGTATGCAATCTGGTAACGATTGAGCACTATCCATCATGTTACTTGTAATATATATTACATGTAAATGGTGAATTTGAAATTTTGCGGTGTAAGAAAATGTTTTTGTGTTAAGTTTTTTCCCTAAAAATATGTTAAAAATAAAAATTAAGCCAGATAAATTCAGATGAAAACAGAAGCAAACTCAGAATTTCAGTAACCTATAAATGTAATGAATGTCCCATTCTAGACTGAATATAATTTATTGCATTCCTAACCTACTTGATATCTAAAAGTGGAGTTTATTTTAAAAGAGTAAATCATGGGCTGCGTCATGGAGCAAAGTCGCGCCCTCTCCCCTCTATTTACTATAACAGGAAAACTGAAAATTGCTTCCGTAATTATCAATGACATTAATAAAAAAAGATATTCTGATCTGTAATACATTAAAATAAAAGTGTTATTTCAGGGCTTTTGAAAATTTTTAGGATTATGATTTTGTAATTTCCACTTACCCTACAATAAAAATATTTATTAATATTAACTAATTACTGGCTCTTCATGTGGATTAATGATTTATGCAAGAGCAATTCAAAATTTAATAAAAATCAATAATATTCCTTTAAGAGTTGGCATCCTTGTGGTGCTATAAAATATACCATTGAGTAAGGGAGGGAAGAGGAAAGGAGACAGAGAGAGAAAAGAGAAAAGGGAGAGAGATCAGAGAAAGTTTCATAACTTATTTTTTGAAAATTTGTTTTACTACTTTATGCATATTTCTGTTTTTTATAAATACAAGTGTGTTTTGCAGATTTGTTTACTTTTTGAGATTGCTTTCTAAAAAAATACTTAAAAATACTTAAGACTATTCAGGCTGCTGTAACAAAATACTGTTCACTGTGAAGTTTATAAATAAAAAATTCATTTCACACCGTTCTCAGCACTGGGATGCCACGATCCAGGCCCTGGCAGATTCAGGCTTTGGTCCAGAGTCCTTTGTACCAGCTTCCTCCCTAGCAGTGCCCTCACCGTGGAAGGAGCTGGGCGGATCTGTGGAATCCCTCAAAGAGGCGCTAATCTCCTCATGACTGTGTGAGCCTCAGGAGTAGATCACTTCCCGGTGTTTTTGCTTCCCAAGATCTTTAAATTGGTTTCAGTATGAATTTTGAAGAACATATACTATATAACAATACTTTTAAAATGTGAAAAAATGTATTTTTCATAAATCTTTTAATTTATCCAAATATTTACTAAACAAATATTTTAATAGAAATAATTACAAATGATTATGTTGTGTAACTATGGTCAGGGAATTTGTAATATACTATTTTTGTATATTGAACTGCCAACAAAGCTGGAAAGCTGGATCCAATGTTTTCAGCATAGTTTCAAAGTATTGATAAGGAAATTTGTTGCTTTTATATAACACATAATTTTTTCAGGTAATGGAAATGAATAATTTATTGAGAATAATAGTTCATTTTATAAATATAAAACTATTTTTATAAATTCCACTGTTGATTTTTTAAAATGTTAAATTATAGTGAGATTAAAGTATTTCTAACTTGTGGTACCTATCTGTTTCACTGAACTTTCTAAATAAAAGCTTTGAAAATTAATGAAATGGGGTGTTTCATTCATGTTCAAAATTGACTTTATAATTTTAGGGGTATGAATCATGTCATCTATATAGTAATTTGATTAAATTGATAAAGAGTATAAAATTGATCTTTAAAGAGAGCAAAATTAATAGCATAATTCCAAATAATCATATAGTTGGAAACTGATTGAAGGGACAGTTCTCATGTGTGTAATTTATTATATAGCTCTCCCATGTAATTTTGGTACCAAAGTTTTGCTTTTTGGCTTTGTCACAGTAATTAAAATATCTGACCGATTAGGCTTAAACATTTTTGTGCAATTGTTTGGTGCAGATATTGTTAACCTACCTGTTTAATTCTTGGTATACTGTGTTTCTACTTGAAGCTTAATTATAAAATTATAATTATAAAATTAATTATAAAATTTCTAAGTGATGAGGGCCATTACAGTCTTGTTTATGATTTCTGTGAAGCTTCATTTTTATTATATTTTTACTTTTATGGAGTAACATGTCGTCATTTAAAAAGAAAAACTGCATTTAATGTTTTGAATGAACATCTGTAGCTCTTGCAATGTTCCCACTTCCCTGTGCTCTTTTGCAGTAACATTTAAATATTGCAGCTATTTTGTAAATCATTTTCTTCTTCAAGTTAAAAATATGTTTATGCCACAATTTGTATTTAAATTTTAGACCTTACCTGTTGACTTCCTACAATGAAAGAAGAGGTTTTAACAAATGTATAATCCTACATCGTTGCTACTTCTTTCCTTTTTTTCCCTATATTGCACTAAAGATGGAACCCAAGGTCTTGCATATGTTAGGTGCACCTGGCCTAAATATCTTAGAAAATATTTTCATTTAGATTAATAGTTACCATCTGATCTCAAAACATCTTTTAAAAGAAATGAAACAGGCACTTTTAGTATCTCAGTGGTAACTAAAAACAGTAGACTTTAATAATTTTTTTTGTTTTATTTATTTGTTCATTTATTTGGTATTTGGGTATCCAACTCAGGACCACACACTTGCCAGGCAGGCGCTGTGTCACTGAGCTACATCCCCAGTCCCAAAGCAATATATTTTAATTTCTTAAAGTGAGAAGGCTCAGGATGGATGTAACTTAAAACAACATACGAGGAATATATTAATAATGTGTTTTTATAACATTATTCTTGAATGCAATTTGACAATATCGCAATTTGTCTATTCCAAGCTGATAGTGTGTGCCAATTTCTTTCCCTTCTTTACAAAATCTGATTGACTTATTTGGAAAAGATTCAAAAAATTAGTATTGAAATCATTTAAATTTTTTACCTGTAGTGAGTTGTAACAATAGACTGATGAAGGAAAATGTGCCAATGGATTTAACATATTCAGTGTTAAGGAAAAAGAGGGCAGTGCTAACTATAAGAGCAAAAAAATTAGAGGACTATTTTTGGGCAGCTAATATTTAGAAAAATAGAATGAAATGCTCATACTCCATGGTCATGATAAGCTCAAAGAATATTGTATTCTCAGTGTGAATGGATTGGGAAAGAAAACATGATCCCTTAAAGTCAGGAAGACTAAGGAAGTAGCTCAGAGGTCCAGAGGTGCTCCTGTGTTTAAGTATTGGGTGGGGCAGTAGGTGGTGTCTTTGGTATATAAAGACACTGGTATATATTATTTTCTTTATTTTACCTTTATTTATTTCAACAGGTTAGACTTAAAAATGCACACAAATTCTGAAGACAGAATGCTACCCAAACTTAAAAAAAAAAAAAAAAGTATATCCAATGGAGGGGTATTAAGATAGCTATAGGTATGAGGTGACTATTGATCTAATAACCACACTCTGTTCTACTGTTATCAGAAAGGAGGATCAGGATCAGTTCCTTTCACTGGAAGGAAGTAGTGGTATATATTTGCAGTCTTCATTCAAGGTGATGTTTTTCCCAGTATCTTCTGCCCCGATGTACTCTGAAGAGCATCCCAACAGTAAACAGCATGTTAAAGAATAACATACTGGCTCCTATTCAGCCAGAGCTTTTTAATTTATAAACAAAAGAAATGGCCTCCTTAAGGTGCTTGAGACAAACCGGTCCTGACCTCTTGCACCAACTAGGAAAACAGCAAAGTCGCCTCATTTTCAGATCTCATTGGGACAGTGTTTGAGCCATTGTTGAGTCTACATTGTGATTTAATTCCTTCTCCTAATTTGCCTTCATCTTCCTTTCAGATATCAATCCTTAGAACATCCACTGATAAATGTCCTACATACTAACTTTAATGTGTAATTCCTGAAACAGCACAGAAAAATCCATTTGTAATATATGTCACAATAGTTAACAGAGTTACAAAGCTGTCTTTTATTACCTATAGAGCAGCACGGATTTAATGAACTGATAATTTAGGGAAAATGATATAAAATTCATTGCCCTAAGATCATGTCAGTAAATGCCAAAAATGAAGTAAATTTATTTACTGGTTATTTTATTTATAAATCATCAGTATATAAAAATTCATTTGAAATATAAATGTAAATTATCTACTGAGCAGAAAGCAGAAGTGAGAATGAACAGCTATAAGGTTGCTAAGGAAAAAAGTGATCTTCCTCTAATGGCAAAGTGCTTTGTGCAAAGAAGGAAGTTATTTTGTTATTGTGGTGCTGGTACTGCTGGGGTTCAAACTCAGGGCCTTGAGTATTAAAGAAGGAAATTCTAAAATAACTTCTCATGACATCATAAAACACACACATGAATGATATTTTAGCAGTTAAAAGGATTATGTTACTGAATTCCTATAAAATTTTTCCATTTCTCTACAAACATACAGAATTAATGCTTCTAAAAATGTTAATTCTAGAGTAAAAACAAAATAAATATTTTAAAACTGTATACTGTTAATACTCTAAAAATACCTATTTTGTAAAACTGCTAAGCAAGATATGCTCAGATATGCAAAGATTCTATAAATTTGAAATGTAGTGGGGAAGGTTGATGAGTTATTAATGCTTCAAATAGAAAATGCATTAAGTGTAAGGTTGTTGTGCATCATTAAGAGTTTAGTCTTAGCCTAGATTCAAATGTGAGATCGAGTATATAAGAGTTGTAAATCATTTGTAAGTTCTTTCTTAGTAAATCTTTCACACAAAGCAAAACAAAACAAAATAATATTTAGACAGGAGTACTAACCTCAGTTACATTGTTATTAAGGTAAATTGAGAAAATTTATAAAATGTGCTTTTCATGAAATCTTGGGAATTGGTAAGCACTAACAGAAGAATATTAGGTACTGTCATAGAAGGTGCAGTGAGGTCTCAGGGTACTAATAACAGATAACATGAGTACTGAGGATGTTGTATAGAAGACATAATAGTTGAAGTGAGCTTGTCAATAGGATTTATATATACGGAAAGGAATTGTGATGTACATTTTTGATACACAAAACACAGTGATCAAAGATATGCAGAACAGGATGTTTGAGGGAAATTCTGAGTAAACCATTGCAATTACAACCATGGGGAACAACAGATTGGAAAGTGCATTTTGAAATACAACTTGAAACTTGCCACACCAGGAGGCAACTTGTAACACCAGGAGAATGGACCGGGCTATAAATAATGGAACAAAAGATGATTTCCAGTTTAAGAACAACTCAGAAAGATGTTGAAATTACTTTTCTATTTAAAAAATCTAATAAAAATACAGGTTCACTCAATAATGTCTTAAATGTCATTTAATATTTCATGGTCAGAATTATCTTCACGACTGCATTTCTTTAAAGTTTAGCTTAAAAATAAAGGTGTAATTCACAGTTAGAGTTTATACTTTAACATCTACAAAAACCTTCTATTCTTAGAAGTTGTTTGGAGGAGTTTATCTTTAAAATATCACTTAAAAATAATGTTCTTTTCTATGTTATCTCTAATGAATCACCTAAATAATGCAATAGAACAAATTTTAAGAGTTTAAATAAACAGTTAAAAATTATTACGCTATATTTCTCATTTTGAAACAGGAAGACAATTTCATAATGATCACAACTTGACTACATACAAGGTATCCTTAAACATATTGCATATTAATGCTTATGTTGTGTTCTAGTATGAAACATATATTTGTATTCTAGTTAAGCATTGCAATGACTACGTAAACTACCTGAAGATTCAGTGATCAAAAGCTTATAAACATAAGTAGAAATACCATAGTTATTGAACTCTGAATGAAACACATGTATCTGTACTTGTATAGCAAAGGTTTTCTGAATCTCTGAACAATAATAATAATCTAAAAGGTATATTTTCATTTTTGATTAAACAAGAAATGCTTGGCTGTAAATGAAAAGTAGTAACAATGGAGAGGTTAATTCTTGTCCATGAATTAGTGATATACGTGGAAGAGGTAGGTACAAAGACTTCAAGGACTAAATTCAGGGACTAGTTTATGTGGAATATTGAGACCCAGACAGTCTGCAATAATCTGTGCTCCTTTTCATTTAAGTACTAAAAATAATTAACAGATGCAATTGCAAAAGTGCTATAAATGAAAATCTTGCTAATTCCTATAGGTTGAGAATTTTCTATAGCTACAGAAAACTCAATGTACTTATCTGATGGATTTTGGGATCTGGCCCAGTATTCACAGACATTCACTCTGGGGCTATGACTGTCTCTGGACTCCCAGAGAGACCTAGATAAGACCAAATGCAAAAAGCCTTCTTCAGAAAACCGGTTGAAAAGCTACAAAATGATTTCTGCAACTTGAGTTAATAGATCACAAAATCTCACAGCCACTAAAAATAAAAATAAAGATATTTTCTTAAATTATATTTCTATTTATAATTCCTTGAAGTAAAATTATTTTAGTTGGTTTAAAATGTATTTTGAAAAAAGTACTTGTGTTTTAAAATTATTTAGCACAGTAATTTATTTTGGCACATTATACAATTGGACTACAATGATGAATTCAAACAATTAAAAATAAAATTGGACACTTTGATTTTGTGTCAAAATAAATATAAATGATTGTGATATTTTCCTT